TTCAAATATTTCTTATCCGTGAAAAAGCATGTATGCAAATGTTCAAAACAGGATTCACAATGCTGAAACATATCAACAATCCAAATGCCTCGTAATTGATGAATTTGTCAAATGTGAAATACAGATATTTATGATATAGTCTTTGACAAAAACATGGAAATATGATAGATGCTACTGAATAAGCAATAAAAACATTAGGTAAGAGAGTGCAGACAGTCACAAATGGCCAGTTACAACCTGATTCAGTGGAAAGATATTCAACACCCAGAAGAGATACCAGAGATAAAGTTGATTGAAAGCTTTCTAGGGCAGGGGAATTGCAAAAAAAAAAAAAAAAATGAGAATTAACTTAATGGGCTTGGGATTTCTTATAAAGGAAATGAAATGTCCTAAATTTGGCTGTAGTCTTGATAGTACAACTCCAAATAGGTATCACAGGTTTTCCCCATCTTATATTTTGGAGACGGGCTTTCCAAAATGTTATATGAGCAGAGTTTGTGCTCATGTCCCTCCCACATGCTAGAGTTATAGGCATGAACTACTGTGTCTAGCTATAAAATGCATTTTTTCACTTGTCTCTAGTTGGTTTGTTTTTTTACTCTTTGGGAGCCTGCCACCCAGATCCCAAGTAAATACACGGAAACTTATTATTACTTATGAATGCCCGAATTTAGCTTGTCTTGTCTCTAGCCTACATTGCTTACTTAAATTATTCTGTTTTTCTTTAACTAAGTTTTGCCTCTGTGCTTTTTACCTTTCTTTATTCTACATATCTTTCTTTCCTTCTTATTCCATAGCTGGCTGCCTGGCTGTGTGGCTGGTCCCTAGTGTCCTCCTCTCCTTCTCCTTTCTCACTCCTCACTTTCCTTTCTAGATTTCTCCTCTAGATTTCTCTCTGCCTACCAACCCTGAGTGTTTCTGTCTCCTGCCTAGCTATTGACTGTTCAGCTCTTTATTACACCAATCAGCTGTTTTAGACAGACAAAGTAACATGGCTTCACAGAGTTAAAGACGTATGACATAAAAGAATGAAACACATCTGTGCATTATTAAACCAATATTCCACAGCGTAAATTAATATAACAATCTTAAATTAATATTCTACAACACCTTCTCTTAATTTGCTTATTAAATGCAGAATATAAGTTATTTCTTACAGTTATTTAGGCTGGGAAGTGAAAAATTAGGTCCTCGTCAGTTGAGGACTATGAGGTTTAGTGTTGTCAGGTTGAAAAAAATCTAGAATGACTGGGGGATGGGCTTTCTGTGTGGTTTTTCTGGATTACAATGATTAGAGTGGGTAAACCCGCCCACTATGGGATCCTAGACTCCCTAAAATGGAGAAAGAGCGCTGAACATTAGCACAGCAGCCACCCTCTCTGTTCCTCATGTGGTGTGGTGTGACCAGATGCTTCCTGCTTCTGCTCCTTGGCTTCCCCACCATGATGGTGCACCTTTGGGTTCTGAGCCAGAATGAACCCTTCTCCCTTAAGTTGCTTCTGTCAGGGTATTTTATCACAAGCACAGAAAGAATGACTAGGATGAGGGTCTTCTCTCTCTAATAACACATAGAAGAAAAACAAAGACAAGGCAAGAAAATGAAAAGGCCAAACTCTCTTCAAGGAGAAACCTACTCCTTTAAGAAAATACCTTATTTGTACAGAAGCAGCATTAATACATTCAAGAGGGTGGAGTCTTGATAACCTAAACACTTTACATTAGACCGCGCCTTCCAACATTGGCGCTGCGGATTCAGTTTTCACCACATGGACGTTGGGAACAAGCTTGAAGCACAGCAAGAAGAAAGTCCCAGTACTAGCAACCAATGAGCAGAACTAGAGGTCACTGCAGCACCCAACTAAAAGAGCACCCTTGTCACAGTGTCACAGTTTTCAGTTTCACATCCCTTCTCTGATTCAGCCAATAAACATTTATTTGGTGTCTAGTATACGCCAAGCTAGCTTTCAATGGGGGTTACATCTCCATACGTCACACTGTAAAGAAGAGAACCCCTTAAATCATATCACTTGTCTTTAAAGCAGCCTCAAAGCCTATGAACTTTATCTAGGCAGCACGAGCAAAGGATGCCAGAACGGAACAAATCAGACATCCGGGACCAACATCGAGGTAAAAGAGACGGTCATTCACAGATAGTAACGTCTCAAAAACTGATCTGAGCTCTGTCCACTTAATGCATACTGTTTTAGCGAGGCCATGACGAAATGGCAGAATTCTGGGTTCTAGTGGCTGCGTGGCTGTCTAGTCACATAACCTTTCGTAAGTCACTTAATTTCAGAAGGCAGTGTTTTTAGTTTTGCCAATTGCCCTATTTCATAGGTATGATTATGGCAATTAATGGACAATGTAGTTCATCTTTATATCAGACCAGGCACCAAAAGCAGCTGAAGTCTATCTAGTCCAGGCATCATACCTGCATTAATGTGATCTGTTGGCCAACTAAAACTAACAATTTGTAATACCTTTCTATTTGAGGGGTGATAATAAAATATAGGTACAAAATGTTTGATTCTTTCAGAGCAGATATGGAAATGTTTAGATTATTTTAAATCAGGTCATTAATTTATGTGTCTTTATTTTTACTTGTTGTGACATGTATCTGGCCTCCAAATCACCTTGTAGCTGAGGATAATCTTGAACTTCTTCTCCTGCCTCTATTTTCTAGTTTTTTAGGTGTTGGGGATTGAAGCCAGAACCTGCTATATGCTAGACAAGCGCTCTATTACCTGAGCCACACCCTGCAGCTGTAATATACTCATTTTTAAATGCTAAGGCCTCATTTTGAAAAGGTACCACAAGGGCATGATGGTAGACGAACAAAGGAGGCCTAGTGAAGAGGAAGCCGGAGCTCTAATGCTTTGCATTCTGTCTTCAAGGAGACTAGAGCTGAGACAAAGCCCACCAAGCCATGATTGGAAACAAAAGCTTAAATCCCAGTCCTTCCACCTTTATCACAACAATTTCAAATTTCCACCCCAGATTTAGTCGTTGGAACACATCAGAGGTTTAAGGTATTGACCTACTTTGACAGACACATGGATATAAATAAACTACTTTGATCAAACATAGGAAAGGGTTTTTTTCCATGACTCTGCCTTCCTTGTTCTTTCATATTTTACAGTATTTTCATGTCGAGCAGAGAGGTTCTCAACATGTGGTTGCGACCCTTTTGGGGGTGGAATGACCATTTCACAGGCTAGCGTATTAGGCATCCCACACCCCAGATATTTAGATTACAAGTCCTAAAAGTAGCAAAATGGCAGTTATAATGTAGCGATGGAATAATTTTATGGTTTCAGTCAGCACAGCATGAGGAACTGTACTAAGGGTTGCAGCACTAGCAAGGTCGAGGACCTCTGCTCGAGAGTGTCTTCGGGCAGTGTGAGAAAGAACACGAACCTGGCTTGACTTAGAAGTCACACTTGGATGCAAGCTAGACTTAGACCTTTCCATAGCTACGCCAGTGAGTCCCTGACTTAACAGGGCACAAGCACAGACAAAAATATACCAGTTCGATCATTAAAGATTTCCATGGCCAGGTCTATAACTCACTGTAGAAAAATGGGGATGACCCTGAAAAATGGTTTACATTTGTGAGCATCTATTAGCTGCAAATAGAAAAATCTTATTTTTGAAATGAACAGTGCTGATTTTTTTTTTTTTTTGCCTTTTCTTTCGGTTCAGGTGCAAAAGATGGAATGTAGGATAGGGCTCTCTAAACTACAAGCACGTCTATGGCAGTGTTCCCTTGTGGCAGATTCACTTTACCAAATGTTCATTACATGGAGTTCTTTTACGTCAGCTCCATAGTGTTTTCCAATGGCTAATTTGGGTGAAGAGGTAAGTTGATGGCAACTGGGCCTCACTTTGCTTTTCAGTTTCCACGGCCAGAAAGTCCTCTCTGCGGCTGCTCTTAAGGTGTGTCTAGCAATTAAAGCTGGGAGACCTGGAGACAGCTTCCCTGCCAGCTGTTAAGGCAGAAGCGCTGCTCTGCAGAAGTCAAGGTAGCTTGGTAACCACTGCAGCAGCTGTGCTAGAGGCCATATTGCACAAGGTCTGTCCACGCATCCAAGCCATGCCACCATTCCCATAGCAACACACGTAGACTTCCCTCCTCCTAGGGACGAGGCAGCCAGCAGAAACACTGGGATCATGTCCTGGTTTTCCTAGCAAGATCAGTGTGTCGCACTTACTCCTTTTCATAGTAGTCATTTTGTTCCCCAAAAGGCGACCAATAACCATGTTGGAATACGTCCACTCAAAAGTTATAAACCAAGATACCTTCAACTTAAACAACAATCTATGCTTTCAAATTTGCTATTATTCAAGTGACTGCAGGGGCTAATAAAATTCCAATTGTCACAGTAATGACTTTTGTCCTCATTTAATAGCCTAAGTGAAATTCAGCCCGAGATCAAGTCCTTACAGACTGATCTCAGAACTGATTTGCAGTTTCTCCTCCGTGACCAAGCACACACTTCCTCATCGTGGAACAAAGGAGGAAAACTTTCCAGGGGGAGGCTTCGTCTAATCAACGAAACCCTCGTTGCTTTATTTCTCAAAAGCAGCATAAATAAACAAACACATAAGGAGATAGCATTATAAAACACCTATGAGGTAAACTTTAGGAGAACACTTGTTTTAGGCAGTGGAAATAAACATTAGCATCAAGACTTGTAAACAGAGATGGCTCATGGCAAGATCAAGCAAAATATTTTGGTATTACATTCACTTTTTCCCCTTTTTGTATTCGGAGATCTTTTTATTTGTGTTTAAATTGACCTCCCACCATGGAAACAAGTTGCTTAGATTATAAAACAACATTAAAGATTATTACTAATATCACATTTCCCTTTAATTATGCCTGCGTTGAGCCAGCTGATGGAACACTCCAGTGGACCAGGTGTGAGCTTAGGGGGATACATTCGCAGACAGGCCCTCAGGGACACAGTGCCTTTTCCCCCCAAAACAGATATTTTTACCTTTGCTTTTTCCAACTGTGCCTGGGCCTGCCGCTCAGCTTCTCTACGTACTGCCTCCCGGTCCTCTTCCAAAGACACATCTGAATCGGATGGACGGCTGGTGTAGGAGTCTGCCGAACCCTGAAGAGGAGAAGGGATATTTTTAAAATAGATCCAGCATGTGATGGGCGCCCTGGAGAAGCCTCGCTGGTGTGTCGGTTTGCTTCCTGGATGTGCTGGAAATTCCTGAAAAGAGGAGCAAATGATGCATTTTGCTGCATCCCGGCTAGAAAACCCCACTTGACTCTGTGGATTCTTCACTTAGGTAGTTATGCGTACCAACATACCCTTCCTTCCCAGGCTCATTTACCAGAAACGAGCCCTTCTGGAAGCCTCTACTTGTTCCTTTATCATTAAATCGACTCTGTGGTGCAGTGCAGATCTGAAGGGCACTGAGGTGTTTCAAGGATAACTCCAAGAACCGCAAGAGGGCTGAAGCAAGTGTTTACATCCAGAGAGACCCACAAAATACACCCAAGGCAATCAGACGAGTTTCAAACTTGAACCCTCCACGATCTAACGGCTACGATACAACTTCCATTATCATCTTAAGGATGCTTTCAGCATTCGGCTTCACCTGCTACCTTCTCCCACTCGATGGTAAGACTCTCCAGCCTGCTTCCCTCCCACTTTCAGAAACATACTCAAAAATACCTGCACACAGATATTTAGCGCGAGCTGGCTGCAGAAAACACCTGCTCGGGAGATTTCCTCTGGTAATAAATCACCACGCAGGCAAGGGAGCTCAGAAAAATGACAGGAATCTCCCGAGCTCCCTCTCATGCAATCATGAGCGTATTAACTAAATCAAACCACCCTCTCCGCAGGCACTTGCTTCAACAACAGAAAAGCAAAGAAAACAGTGTCTCCCCAGAACAAAAAGCCTTCTCGCTTACACAGATGTCCGAATTCTTCAGCCTTCCTCCCTTGGCTCTTTTCAGAAGCCTGATCCAGGTGGCCTTCATGAGCCGGATAGATCCTTTAGCGTCCGCAGCTGTAGCCCCGGGCACAGATCCTCAGCGCGCGCTGAGCCCTGGAGAATCCCAGCACCTTTGCTATCCATGCTCTAGGAAGCCCCTCTTCTCAGTCCCCTTCTCCCACTGGGGCTCTCACTCCCAGCCCCAGTTGACTCCTGTCTGAAGAGAATCTTCTTATTTTCCCATCTCAAGGAGGGAGGAAAACACACACACACACACACACACACACACACACACACAATCTAATGATTTCTATTGCTTTCAAAATAAAGACAGGTCCAAGTGCAGAGACTGGCTTCAACTTGTTTAAACTTAATGCATTAGATTACTCTAAATATTCTCTTCCCTGCATTTGGCTTGTTAAAGGACATTAGTTTCAAGAGGGCATTTAGAAAAAAAAAAAAAAGTAACCAGGCTTAAAAAAAAACCCAGACTATGCCCTGGTATTTCCAAGTGTAAAGTTCAAGCCTTATCTTTAGAGATCTGGACAGGGATGGTGGGGGAGGGAGGATGCACTCCCTGCACTGGGCATGCTCCACATGAAGATTCTTTACAGATGCTGGCTTCACACTGTCGGTTTATGTCAAACTGCCATTTTCCATCGGAAGTGTAAACAGCTGGGAGGGTCTCTCAGCTCCTACCATAACAGGCATGGGGCGTGTTCATCAGCTTTCTGTTCCAGATGAAGCCATGTCTCAAAGACAAAACTTATCATCTTTTCATTGAATAATCATTTCCCATTCCCTGCCACAGACGGGATTTGCCATGCCATAAGTAATAATTCATATAATCATAATAAACATGACACACAATATTAAACAGCCAAAATAGAATATTGTAATATATCCTATCTGAAACTAATCTTTATAAACAAGATGCAAGACAGAGCTGTGGCCATTTAATTAGGGCACATAGTAATCACAGCTTAATAAAGCAAAGGAGTTGATGGAGCTCAAAATGACTGGCCTGCTTCTCCTGGTGAGAACCCATCGCCTGAATAAGTGTGGGAATTGTTGTAGTGCTACAGATAAGGACCTTTCAAAGCTTTGCTGGTTTACTAGCTAGTGTTACCATTCACAGGATACATTGAATCCAAATTCTTCTTGTGGATAAGGGGGCTGGGACTTAGAGGAAAGATGAGGGTCATCCACATCTTGGGTGAATGGGGTTACATCTTTAATGTTTTCTTATGAAGAAATGCATGCTGCTAAGTTTCATAAAATTTGAGAACAAACTGCATCTATTTGAGTATGGCAGGGGATTGCTGTGTAAAGTCTCACACAAATAAAAGAAATGTGTTATTCAGAAAATCTTAGCTGGGCAAAGAAACATACACCTCTAATGTCATCACTCAGGAGGCACAGGCAAGAGGATCACGAGTTTTACCGGACTGGGTTACATAATGAGATGCTGGCTCAAAATAAACAAATTAATTAATTAAAATAATAATAATGACCTCTTTACCTCCCTTCCCTTCCTTTGGACACTCAGCTAACACTAATTTACAGGAGCCAAAGGCTAGGAAATACATAAAGCAGAGACTACATAATAATAGAAACTGACTGAATCTGAACTCAATATTATGACATAAGGTAATGGCTTATTTATATTGTTATGAAGTTAATGTAAAGTGCAAGGGACTTAAAAATTCCTTGCAATTTTTTTTGTTCAAGCAAAATATAAAAAGAACAAATTAATCCCCAACACAGGAAGGTTTCTCGTCTTCCAAAACTTCTCACAGCTGTAGCATCCAACTGGGCAATAATCAAGAGGCACAGTTAGACTCCGCAGGGGCCCTGGGTGCCCATTGTTACCAGTGTGGGCATCTAAAATCAAACAGCTAAGGTTCATTTCACATCCTGGTGCAGATAAAAAGACTCTGTCCTTGGCGTAATAGATCTGTCTATCCAGAATGCCAGTCTCACGAACTCTTGTTTATCCTCCGACCCTTATATTCTTTCTGCTCTTCTTCTCCATTGTTCCCTGGACCTTAAAAACAGTGACATAGAAGCTTCACAAGACCTTCTTTCAGACCCAGGACTCCAAAGTCACTCATCCTCTGTACTTTGATCAGTTTTGAGTCTCTATGCTAATCACCACCAACTGCAAATGAACTCGCTGCTGTTCTGGGGACCTGGACAAGAACGCCATAAGACTAGAGCCAACACCATTTCACCACGCATGCTGGAGGAGTTCATGAGGTTCTGCACCCCACTGAGGGATTAGAAGAAGGTAATTCTCACTGGGGGAGAAGGGTGTCATTTTCTTCAGCAGTCAGCCACCTATATGTTGCCCATGTTCCAGTACATAACTCTTCCTGGCTTATGCTCAGGAAAGCAGCTAAAGTTAAACTCAGTGGAAAATACACACACACACACACACACACACACACACACACACACACACAGTCACGAGAGGGGGGATGAGAGTAGGAGGAAGCTGTGATAAAAAGAAGCCATCAATGGGAGAGAGAGGGTAAAAGGGTGTGCAAGGGGGGGCTGTCAAAAGTCGATCATATATGCACATGAAACTCTTCTGCAATAAAAACTAATATATTTATCACTCTATAAAAAGAAGTCATTACTAAATTTTTTAAATATGGGTGGTCAGATAACTCATTGGTTAATAGCACTAACTTTTCATTCAGAGAACCTTAGTTCAAATCCTAGCGCCCCGCATGACTGTTCATGACCATCTGGAACTCCAGTCCCAGGGGATCTGCTGCCCTGTTTTGGCATCCTTGAGCACCAGGCATGCACATGGTACACAGAAATATATGCAAACAAACCACCTATAAATGGTAAATAAATAAATAAATATTTTAAAAGACAGAGTTTCTGTCATTAAGACCCTGATGTCATAGGGAGAATTCAGGAGACATGGAATCATGTTTACTTCACTCTCTTTTAAGTAAAGTAGAGTCTATTCCTAGCAACCAGCTGTAACTTTTGCACAGACTAATCATTTTATTGGTGTTTCCAAGTTTAAAGAGCTCAGTGGTCTTTAAAACTCACTTCACTGATGTTTGTCAACGATCTTTTGAATATTTGCAGCAATTTATTAACCTCTGACTACCTTTCAAAATGAGACTGGGAACTCCTCTTCACAAGAGCTCACTCTATGCCTACGAGTATATACTCAAGAAAGAGTTGTCAGAGCAGACATATGTACCTATAGTAGAAAGAGAAATGTGGCCATGTCCTTAAATTCTCCAATCCCCGAACAGTCACTGTTGAATAGTACAATGCTTACTGTCCAGAGTTGCTGCATTTTTGAAAGTCACACTTCTAATGGAAGCATTGCACCTAACCTCCTTCCTTCTGGGTGTAGGGAATTACGCAGAGAAAGGTGATCTATCCAATTAAGCTTTTGCCTTTGGTACCATATGGACTTTCTGGGTCATCGTGCTGAGTGGAGAACATCTGGCATTCATTTCCATAACTATTGGACGGGTTCATTATAAAATGTATCTGTGATGAGCTGATTGTAGCATTTGTCCTTGTGGATACAACACACTTTCAGCTATGCATATTCCTCTTCTACCTCTGCATATTCGCATTGCTGATTGTACAGCTATGAAGTGCAAGTTGAGTCTAATGTCTACCAATAGGTCATCCCAAGAGCATCTATTTATCCCCAGAACTCTCACTGTACATCTGTGGTTCTTGCTTACAGGAAAACGGAGCTAATTCTGAAAGAATTTATCTGTTCTTCAATTTCTCTTTCTGCTTTTATGTCAAACGTGCCCATCACAAAACACTATCCTTCTTCTTCAGTGTTTTTCTTATGTGTGAACTTTGTTTTCTTGAAGCTGTCCCATTTTACAATCTTAAATACACCCTACATCAGCCTTCTTGTGTTTTTTTCTTTAAAGTCAAAAGGGTAAAAGGTCTAAGCCTACTTGAGACTGGCAATCTGAATTACAATTGGTACCATCTATTTCTGTAGGAATCTTCCTATGAAATCAAAAGCAATGCTTTTGAGCAAAATCAACTTAACCTCTCGGTTTTCTAGAGTCACCTGGATCCCTCACCTGGACACCGCAAACCTCCTCCTCTACCTAAGACTACACCAACTCAACATTAAGATTGACTCCAATTGTTT